TTAAAAAAAGTACTACAAATCACAATAAGTAAAAATTTAAAATATTTTTAAAATCATATAAAAAATTTCAATAACTTCTCAAATTCCATAATATGACATAAATTAAAATTAAAAAAATATATATATTGGGCCCCGTGCTGGCACGGGGTCCTATATCTAGTATAGTAGAAGTAGTTACAAGCACACAACTCTTCATTAACATGCGATGCTTGAGTTTTGTGTGTATTTTTTTTTTAAATATATTTTATTTGTTATATTTTTTTATTATGTTATATATTTAAAAGTTGCGTTAAAATAATATAAATTATAATAATTAATAACATAAAATATTCTATTATATATTTTAAAATGATGTAAAAAAATATTATTCCTATAAATTTCTTCTTTTAGCAACTCTTTCGTTTTAATTTTCTACATGACATGTTTAAGACCACAAGATTAATGAATATTCTTAAATTTCGTGTCAATTCAAAATAAATCAAACGAATATAAATGAGAGAATATTTATTAATATTAAAACAAGTGTGATCATGAAAGAAATTTATTTAATTTTTAGAAAAAAAATAAAAGATGGTTTGAACCAATTATATTCAGTGGACAATTAAAAGGAATGGTTACAAAACTAGTAATTTTTTATATGAATTAGCTTGACTTGACAAAAAGTTTTTTTTAAAAAAATACAATTAAAAGGAATGGTTACAAAACTAGTAATTTTTTATATGAATTAGCTTGACTTGACAAAAAGTTTTTTTAAAAAAAATCTTTTGAAGCTTGATAAAATAGGTGATAAATATGTGTGTAAACATAAATTATTTCATTAAGGTAAAATAAGTATTTTAAAACTAAATTATTACTGTACTATTTATTAGTACTGAATATAAAAAAATATTTTTTGGAACCGATTAAAAATGAAAACTAGTGAGAGTATTAGTTTGGTTTGTAGTGAAGCAGAAAATAATTCGTTTCGTACTAAGAAGTGAAAGCGGAAAATAACGGCGATTTCCAGCAGGAGCGATGGAGCGTGATCGGTCAAAACTCAAAACCCTTGCCTATTAATCAACAACTGCAGCAAAATACGTGCTGTGTTTAACGGATTGGAATCGACAACTTGTGCAGATACATTATTAGCAGGTAATTGAATCCACAGAACAGTATTCATGTTTTGAATTTACGATTATACAGATACGTGCATTGAGAATTGACACTCACGCATCTTTAACATTCATAGAGTATTGAATTTCAGATCTGTCGGATCCAGTATGATTCCTTCAGATAGTTGAATTTTGCAATTCTTATGCTATAAATTTATAGTGCATTTAATTGCAATAGACAATAATATCATATAGATTCAATTTGTGGACCTGAATTCCAATTTCAGGTCTGCCACGATTTGTTATCCGTGCATGCATGTTTCTTTGTTCATGGAATTGTAGTGATTCATGTATCGTCAGGATTATAACAGGAAATCCTGCTAATCTGGAATTGATAGCTCGAGGTTGCTATAGTTAGCACTTAGCATATAGCTACATGTTTAACATGTGAGTGATATCAATGTAATTCAAGATTGTTGAATAGATATGTCTTCAGATTCTGTCTCTGGCAATAAATTGTTGAAGATCAAATGTTGTATAGTACAACAACTTTGTAAACATAATCTTTTTACTTTGTTGCAATCTTTGTATGATAAGCAGAGTATTTCCTGATGGCTGGTCAACGAAATAGCTATGGGAAACGCTCCCATTCACAGTCTGATTATGCTGACAATGGGAGAAATAAAAGGAGAAATACTGGCTCTGATAAGGACCTTTTCTCAATCGGTCCTGACGACACAGTTTATCGGTACTTATGCGCTGGAAAGAAGATTGGAAGTATTATCGGCAGGGGAGGTGAGATTGTTAAGCAATTAAGGGTGGACACTAAATCTAAAATCAGGATTGGTGAGACTGTGCCTGACTGTGAGGAACGTGTTGTCACTATCTACAGCGCAAGTGAGGAAACAAACAACTTTGATGGCTCTGAAAATTGTATTTGTCCTGCCCAGGATGCACTTTTTAAAGTCCATGAGAAAATTGTTAGCGAGACAATTGATGAGGATTCTGAGAATGCCCCCCAGGTTACCATTAGGCTTCTAGTACCTTCAGATCAGATTGGATGTGTTATTGGGAAAGGGGGTCAGATAGTACAGAACATTCGTAGTGAAAGTGGTGCTCAGATTCGTATATTGAAAGATAACCATTTGCCTGCATGTGCATTGAGCTCGGATGAACTTTTGCAGGTAACTGGAGGATCATATCCTTTTTGATTTTCCCTTTCTCTGTCTGTATCACAGTGTTGTTCTCCCAGTTTGGTACTTCTTTACCATTAAATTTCATTAGGCTATTTCATTTAATTGTCTTGCTAAGTAAATTTGATCAATCGCTGCTCTGCTGGTTCATTTATGAAGTTGTTGCTCCTCTTTTTTTCCCCTTAATGGTAATTAGTAAAATGAAGTTACACAATTTCTTAATCAGCTATTCATTTACTGTTCTTTTTGGTGGTCCCTCGTCTGATTTGTTATGTAAAGAATTATGCAAATTGTACTCTACTTCTTGAAAAGAAATTCTTATGGCTCAAGCGTCATTATCTATAAACATTTGGACCGTGTTACCGATAATTGTTGTGTGTTCACACTTCACGCTATGGTTTCAATTGCAATCTTACTTGCATATAGGGCGGTTGAAACTTGAATTTTTTTTGTCACATCTGACTTCAGTACTCTGTGATTTAATTGGGTTTCAGATATCTGGTGAAGCCACTGTAGTGAAGAAGGCTCTTTATGAAATAGCAACGCGTCTTCATAAGAATCCATCTCGTTCTCAGAACTTGCTTGCTTCTGCTGCACCAAATATCTACTCTTCGAGTTCACTTGTAGGTCATACTGCTGGTGCTCCAATTGTAGGCATGGCCTCATTAATGGGGTCTTATAGGGGATACAAAGGAGAGAGTGGGGACTTATCAAGGTCTTTTTACTCTGCTCCAAGGAATGAGTCATCTTCAAAGGAATTTTCTATCTGTTTGCTGTGTCCTACAGCAAATATTGGTGGTGTTATTGGTAAAGGTGGTGTCATAATCAATCAAATTAGACAGGAATCTGGTGCAGCAATCAAAGTAGATAGTTTTGCTGCTGAAGGTGATGATTGCGTGATTTCAATTTCTGTGAAAGAGGTATTTTCTGTTTCTTCTGATGTTTAGCATTGGAGTGTACAGGTTGAGGGTGTTTGTCCAAGATAAAGATTTATTTTCATGCTTGTTTTTTTCAGTTTTTTGAGGACACATATTCTCCTACTGTTGAAGCAGCATTGCGCTTGCAACCAAGGTGCAGTGAGAAAGTTGATAAAGATTCTGGTCTTACACCATTAACCACGAGATTGCTGGTCCCAACATCTCGAATAGGCTGTCTTATTGGAAAAGGAGGCACCATAATCAATGAGATGAGGAAAATTACGAAAGCTAATATCCGTATACTCTCCAAAGAAGGCCTCCCAAAGGTTGCTGCTGAAGATGATGAGATGGTGCAGGTAAGCATACTGATAGGAGTTGTAAAGCTTAAATGCACCAAAATTTATCTCCTACTCTCTCTTTGAAAGAAAAAAGGTTGCTGGTTTCTTCCTGTACTCAGCTTTTGGAGTACGAGTATGACATAGGAATGTGGATTCTTGAATTTTGGATATAGACATATTGAGGAGCCATATATATCTGTTTTCTTTAGATCAATATTAATTGAATTAAAATGTCTTCGATTAAGTTTTAGGAAGGGTCTGGTGTGAATGTAACCTGTGCTCCACAGGCTGCATCATTCAATTATTCTTTCATAGTTATTTTGATTTTGTGTTCTTCTGCCGTACTCTATTTGCGAAAGCAATCTCCCAGGAAGGAGAAAAGAAACAGGGAAAGATCAATCAAACAATACGAAAAGATGGGGTTGCCTATTTAAGACTCTTAGGATAGTTTTTGTTTTTCGTTTTAGATCTTATTAGCATTTCCTTATGCTTCTTATCTATGCAGGAGTATCCTGTTAAATTCTCTGGTTACTTGTGATATGCTTGTTATTTGCTCAACTGACCTCATCTATATGCTTCCAAACATATCAGATCTCAGGAGAACTTGATGTTGTAAAGGATGCACTCATACAAGTAACTTCACGTTTGAGGGCAAACCTTTTTGAAAGAGAGGGTGCTGCATCTGCCTTTGTGCCAGTTCTTCCCTACCTCCCCATGACTACAGGTTCAGATACCTTGAAACATGAAAGTAGGGACTCTAGAAGACATGGACATTCTTACTCAGCTGGGTATGGTGGTACGACTGATCTTCCACGTGCTGATGGTTATGGAAGTTACAGTGGTATCCAGGTAACATAGGGTTTCATTGCTTGAGGAGCAGAATTTATGAAGATTTTGTGGGAATTCATTAACTTCCTTTGCTATGTATATTTTCTCGAATATATGTGCATCCTTTGTTGTTAATTTCTAATTCCATCAGCAGAGTAGCAGCATAGGATATGGAGCTTATGAAGGATATTCCCTTGGGCGTTCTGGTGGTTCTAGGTAAGTTGTTCTGGGCGTTCCACCTTGTCCTGAATTTGGTTGTTTTGTCTTGGTGTGATTGTACCGGCCACCAGCCAGTTCTCTTAAATATACAACTAGGCCTCAATCCCAAGCAAGTTGGGGTTGGCTATAGGAATCCTTGTTGTCCATTTCGCTCTATTTAAGTTCATTGCAGTCCAATATTATATAAAATAAAATAAAAAGTAAAACGTTTTTTAAAGAAAAACCAGCATGAGCTGTTCGGTTAAACTTTTGTTTGCTTTTAATTCTGTTTTTAGCTGCTAACTGTTTTGATCACGTGTTTGTATCTTGAATGTTCATGTCTGACCTTCAGACATTAACTAGCACTTGTGGTTTTGCCATTCTCCATCTGCTGCACATGAGTTTTTGTGTAGCTTATCTAATTATAGTTGCTCCAAATTTAGAAAACGAGAGTTACAATTTCTTGTTCTTATTATTCACATGTTAAGCTACTGCTGCCAGGTCATCGGGGCAAGACCCTGCTTCCCGGAGAAAAAGTTATGGTTACTAGAGTGTGTAACTGGACTGCAGGTAGCTCGTGGATCCCCTCTTTGCATGCATTGCTTCTTTCATTTGATTTGCCAAAATTTCGTAGCTAGCTCAGCTTGTACTAAAGTATTAAAGTTCACATTTTGGTTGATGACCTAGCCTCTCTCCTGATATTGAAACTAATGCTGTTGTTTTCCTTTTGCTTCCTTCCCTCCCAACAAAACAGCTGAGATATATGAAGCCTGAAGCCAGCCTATTGCCTCCCTTGCGCCTAAACCAGAAGACCAGATAAATGAGGATTTGGAAACTTTGGCCTACCTTGATGCTTTTCCTTAGGAGGACCATAACTGAAGATTTTACCTAGTATTGAAATTTGCCAGGTCCTGACATCATTCACTTACAAGCTCAAATCTTGTGGTCCCAAGAACCTGTGTAGCCAGCACAGCACGCCTTTATCCTTCTTCCCTTTGTGTGGTTGTATTACAAATGAATAAACACATAAATATCAGCCTGTCTTGGTATACCTTTTTTCAGTTCAATTTTAATTTGGATGAATTATTGTGGGATTTGCTTATTTAATCAAGTTAGATGTTAGACCTGTTGTCCTCGAGCAGTTCTGTCTAGTTTTGCTGGTTCCTTAGTCATTGTACAGTATCTTAAATTTTACTCCCTCCGTTCCACAAAGAATGACCTCCTTTCCTTTTTAGTCAGTTTCAAAAAGAATGACCTCTTTTCTTTTTTGGTAACATTTTACTTTTTGCTTTTCACGTGACATGTTTAAGACCACAAGATTAAGGGCAATTTTGTACATTTGACATAACTTTAATTTAGGACTACAAGATTCAAAAGTCTTCTTTATTTACTTAAACTCCGTGCCAAGTCAAACAAGGTCATTCTTTATGAAACGGAGGGAGTAAATTTTATTTCATCTTCTCTTGTTTGCTTATGATAACCCTGGATGTTTGCTCAAGATGTGATCATATTACGTAGGTTGTGAGTTCTGATCTTAGTAGCCTTTATTCCCATCCCGCGTAAGAACATATATTCTATTATAATTTTCTTGCCTGATCAATTCGTTGTTCAAAGCATCTTCCGAACTTTTTGATGATTGTTTTGAAGAGGATGTCATGGATACCCAACTTAAAGGTCTGTTTGCATTTTTCTGTAGACATATATTTTGAATGTAATTGAACAATGCATAATATATATACCAGTAAGTGTAAATTATCTGATCTGATTTTCATTGCCAGTCACTGTGGACCTGACAGTCTCTAGAGAGGAATAAGTTACCGTACGTAAGCGGTAAATCTGGCGGTAAGTTTTTAGTATGCTTACAATCATGTGCTTATCCTTACTATGTACTAGTTTGTGTGCAAGCTAAGATATAATTTCCTTAATCATCAGGTATAAGTGATTTTGCTCATATATGCACACTATAGGTCTCTCGCTTTCTCTACATTTATTTGACAAGAATGTTTTTTTCAATTTCAAAAAGCATGTGCTTTCATTTCCCCCTTTTTTGAGGGGTTGTTTTATTTCAGATGTGAATGTTACAATGCCAATTACCTGTTCTTGTTGATAGTTCAAAAATGTGCCAATTTAGATCTAAATTTCAGGTTGCACTTCTTTCTTTTCATCTTGCCTACTATTCTAAAATGAGGTTTTCTTCTGATGCATTTGCCATTGCAACCTTTTTGGGAAATAATGTTCAATTTAATGAATCATGTGAAGAACAATAATTGTTATAAGGTTAGGGAATAATTTTTGACAAACACAATCAATGGTGTAGAAGAATCCGAAGCTGAGCTGAGATGTTGCTCGGCTAAGTATATAGTAGATGGCTCTATCCTATAACTAGGTAAGCCAAGTAAATTGCTTCTTTTTTTGTGGGTTTGTATACTGTGAACCATGGATATTGCGATTGACTTAACCATTTTTTTCTCTCAGGTCTGGAGGCAGTGGGATCTGTAAATTAAATAGGCAGCTGGTGGATAACAGCTCTTATGGTTCTTTTTGTCAAAAGATATGTACAATTGCTTAGATTACATTCCCTAATTTATTAATGCAATCATCTGGTCGTTCCTATGGAACTACGAGGAAGTTTTTGTCGTCCTTGGTGACCAAACAATTGAATGTCAAGTTGTCTGGTAAATAAACATGGATATTTAGTGTGGTATATCTACGTCTTTATGTTAAACTAGTCTGGTGCAAGTGCAACAAAATTGCATCAATTTAAAGGGTTACATATCTAAAATAACTTGAACATGGCGTGGCATAATTAGCTCCAAACGCCTGTCCATACTTAATTGACACAGATATGATTCTCATGCATTATTTAATTTGTATGATGTGATGACAATATAAATAATTTTAAATGTGTTGGAGGAAAAATAAATAAATTATGTACTTGTTTAATATATATATAAGTTAAATGGATTCACATTACTATGACTAAGATGTAAGGGTGGCAATGCAGTGGTCACCAGACTGCAAAAGCTGAATCAATGAAATTCATGGCCAGCTTGGTAAAATATGGAGCAGTAAATTTGTGTACCTAACTCCATGCCGAAAGGTACAAGTAGGGAGCCGGATCCGCAGACTGCGTTTATTGCCTTGTATAACATCTTTTGGACAAGTGTTGGTACAACATTTTTTTGGATTCACTGTCTCTTTATATCAAGTTATGGGGGGGATGATAGGGACAGTGGCTAGTCACATCCAAATCCTAAGAGCCCCTCCAAACTAACTTTCCCCTTTTCTCCATTGGGCATTACATAGAAATTGACTGATCATCCATAGCTATCATTAATGTATTGCTAGATTTCCTTTCCCATACAAGAATCCATTATTTATCTACAACTCCTAGAGGCAGCTTCAAACCTCATTCGTTTCATGCACTGTCAAAGTTACTTCTTTATTCTTTCTATTCCATTCCATCCAATGAGAGTTAGATGATATGAAATAGGAAACCGCTAATTCTATTTGCAACAGGGAATGTTGGATTTGATCTCCTTGGGGAAACTACACGTTTTATTCATGTTAAAGTCTTGCATGAGGGAATAAGGTTATTGAATTGCAGCCAAGGATGACTTGCCGGCAAGCTCGATCAATTCTGCTTCATGTCTGGCAAGTCATTTTTGGCTACATATCTGCCTCATTTTCTCATGCCAGAATTCATATGAAATAGCTATTGTTGTGGATGTCAAATCAGCAATTGTGGACAACACTAAGGAATCTATGCATGAGACAACGGGTAGACTATATATATATATATCCTTTGCTTACATTTTTTATTTGTGAAACACGTCTCTAGTTATTAATTAATATGTTAGCATTAGGTTATATATAATTGTAATTTAATATGCAGGGAGAAAGTATCTCTCATGAGCTTCAACAGGATGTTAGGGACATATGATATGTTTTGGATCATAGACCAAATCCTAATTAATATAATGTGAGGGAATATGGGTTAACTGCTAAGAGTTTGTTCGACAGAAACATGTGCTGCTAGGTTTGTAACAAACTTGCACTGATATCTAGTTGTCATGACTCAAAATCCTATCGCCATCCAACATCAATTTATTGAAGCATGTTTAAATATTTTTCTCAATAATGTCAAGTGTACTGTGTAATAATAAATATACACTATAGGTCAAAATGTACTGTTTATACACATTAAAAGTTTGAACAGGAATTCTTGGTTTCTCAACTGGACACAATCATGGTAACATATACATCACAATAACTAGTGGAAAAAGGAGAGGAAGTATTGAACACAATTTAGCGGATAATGAGTTACTTGTGTTTTAACAGTAAAACATGTGTGGAACTAGCTAGGTAGGTCATGGACCATGAAACGTTTGTTGACTAATAAATGTGATGTAAGATAAAATACCAAAAACAAGTTATCCTTAATTTGGTTTATTGTGAGAGTATGTTCTTAAATTTGAAGTTGTAGGTTCCTTTTTCAAATTGGCACCTCCTGAGTTATACAAGATATATAAATTGGCCCATTCTCCCAAAGTTTCATTTTAGCATCTCACTTTCATTTCCACGAGTGTTGTTTGGTTAAGATATGATGGGAAAAAATAATTGAAGTTGTGTGAAAATATAATCATTGTTTTGTGAATGAAAAATTTTAAAACTTGAAATTAATTTGATATTATTTCAAGTCTGAAACTGAAATAATAGATCAATTTTCAAAATATTATTAATTTGAATATTATTTCAAATCTTTGAGCCAAAATCTATCTATGAATTATATCGCAATCTACCAATAACCTTTACTGATCTACCGACCACATAACTAAAATAACATTTGTAAAAACCACAATCAAACTGTAAGTAACAAAATTAGTAATCGATCAACCACATATGACATATAGCTCTGTGAAATGATTTATTACAGACCCCAAAGTAAAAAACATAGATGTTCATAAACAAAAATGAAAATAAAAAGATCTAAAGGGAGATAAAACCTTCACGGACGAGAAGACCAAACATGAGAGTTACAAGACCAGTTGTTATGCTCTGTGTTGGAGTCATCCATGTTTGCGAATATGCTCCAAGCGTAAAAGTTGCCCCAACTATTCCGATCAAAAATGAGATCATGTTCTGATTCATCTTCTTTTTTTTTTTAATTTCTTCGTCTTCTGATCTAATTCTTTGCAATTGCTGAAACAATTAGTGAGATATTATTGTTGAATATAAAGAGACAGCTAATAACCATCCAACTCTCTCAAGGGACAAAGTCAACTCCACCTTGGGGAGACCAATACGCTTTTGTTTATTACTTAATTCATCACTTCATTTTTACTTGATTTACAAAACTAATTATTTTATCAATGAAACTTTGAAATTCTAATTTGATTATTACTGTTTTATGTAGTTATATTGAGGGTAGAAAGGAAAAAACATGATAAAATTCTCATGATGTAGGAGTCAAGTAATATGAAACGGAGAGAGTATTGATATGGCCATTTATATTTGTCATTTCACTTATCACACAATTTCTTACCTCTTCTTTTGATATTTGATATGAGTTAGGTACGCAAATGTGCAGAATTTCTACGCGTTTACTTTTTTATATATATTCTATTAAGCTGTCTAATCACGTTTGTTGATAAAATGACCTAATATTGCATGGAAATCAATTAACTTGTATACACTCAGTATGTTACCAAATCATCTAAACGTTAATTATAGGAAACAACACATGATAGGTGAAGTTAACAACTCATAAAACAAGGCATAATACATGTTATAAGAGGTTAAAATTGAGAATGCAGAATCATATATAAGGCCCAATAGACTGGCCCCGGTGCTCAAATTGGGCTTTATTACGAACTCGCAACCCATTAATGATTGGAAACATTATAGGAAAAATTATATAAAATAACAACTACTAATTCAAATTAAATGTTATAACCATAGTTTGATTTAATTATAACCTGTAGCAAATTGTTGTCATTCGCCTCTCTCCCTCCCTGAAATTCTCACTCGCCACTCTCGTTTTCTCGCTAGCAGTCTCTCCCTCGCCTCTCTCACTTTTATACAAACACAAATGTATAAAATGTGTTTGTATTTGTATAAAGTGAGAGAAAACTGTATATATACATATCTTTTCGTTCGCTTCTCTCCCCAAAGAATCTCGCTCGCTTCTCTCACTCGCCTCTCTCACTTTATACAAACACAAATGTATAAATTGTGTTTGTATAAAGCGAGAGAAAATTGTATATATAAATACATATATTTTCATCATATACACATATAATTATAAAAAATACAGATTTTTCCCTGCCCAGTTTTCTTTTGTCTTTCTCTCTTTCGAAGTTGTCATTAATTTCCTCTGGTGCTTGTGTTGCGCCCAAATCGCACACGCAAGTGCACGTGGTCGGTCAAGTATTAAAGTGACTCTTATAAAGAGTCGGGTATCGTACCCACAGGGACTTATGTTTAGAATCACTTAATTTCTCCAACTTTCAGCTAAGCACAAGTGTTATCAATATTCCAAAAGTGATTTCTTTTATAATTCTAAGAGTTAAACAAAATGTAACAAACGGGATTCAATTTCAAGAGTTAAAAACAATGATTGGGTAAAGTCCAAGTAGAGGTGTACATAGGTCGGTTTGGTTAGGTTTTTCATTAAAAAAACCTGAACCAATTATGTCAGTTTATAAATCTAAAAACCAAATCAAACCACACAAAGTCGGTTTTTTCGATTTCGGTTTTAGTCGATTCTTTCGGGTTTATTTTATTTTTTCTGGTTTTTCGATTTTTTACAACTATACGGTATTTGAAAAAGAAATTCAATATATTTTCACTTACTTGTGTGATAAGCTAAACCTAATTAATGTTAAATGAATAGAAATTTTCGAAAAGACGGTAAAATTCACAAGAGTACAATTATTTTTTTTTGAAATATCAATGTTCATTATGTTAAATTAATAAGATTAAAGGCTATATGCAAACTGAATACAAAACAAAATATTTACAAAGTAAATTGTTCACTTCAAATTTGAAAAACTATAACAATATAATTGTAAGTTCGGATCTTAATACAAAATAAAATATTTATAATTTTACAAGCCCAAATTTAAAACTATAGTTATAAGATGTAATTAGGCAAACTGTAGCTAAGGAGCCTAATTAAGTGCCCATTTGAATGAGCTTTTAAGTTGGTCAAACTGACTTAAAAGTCAGTTTTTAACTTGTGAGAGTGTTTGACAATTATAAGAACAACTTAAAATAAGTCAAAAGTTAAAAGTAGGGTGACCCCTACTTTTTTTTTAAACTTAAAAGTCATTGTACTTTGACTAAGTATATTACTTTTTTACCCTTAATTCTTTTAAACAATTCCCAAATTCTTTCATGTGAGCTATTCAAAATATACATTTTTGAAATTTAAAATAAGTTGCACATTTAAAATTAACTTAAATATTAAGTTATTGAAATTGAATTAAAATATAAATTAATTTTGTTTTAATTTCTCTTAGAAATAAAAACCTTAGATTAATCAAGTTTTTATTATGTTAACAATTTTAAGGGTATTTCAGATATTTTGATAAAAAAAAAGTGTTTAACAACACTTTTTTGCCAAACACATCAACAACTTTTTGTCAACTGCAACACTTTTATCCAAACACATAACTACTTATTTTTAAAATAACTTTCAGCACTTTAAAAAGTTATTTATTTAGCCAATCCAAACGGACTGTAGCTATTTGTGAAAAATTCCCTTATAGATTTATGAGGGAAAACTCATGCTGTGGAGAGGCCCAATAAAGATTTTGTAAGAGAAGCCCATAATTAAATAAAAAAGGGAGATTCATTTCAAGTTCCAAAAGTCGGGCCTTTACATGAAAATTAAGGAGATAGTCAATTATGATTAAATATAAATTTTCTCATATCAGTGTAGGTCTAATCATTTTTTGGATTACTGCATATATATTATTTATATTTTGTTGAGTGCTAAGATCTTTCATGTGACAATATGCTATTGCAACTAATGTCTCTCTTAATATGGTCATTTTTTAATTGAATTCTTTTTAAATTCTGTGACATTTTTTTTTAAATTTATTATTTGTATTTCAATTTGTTCCTCGAATTTTCTAAAATAAGAGGCAAGTCATAAAAAGAAAGTAAAAGATGTGAATCACAAAAGAGGACAAACGTGAGGGTTTAAAATACAATGGACTCAGAAGTTTGTATCTAGTCTATAGCAGTTGAAGGACTTGGATGGCGTTAACCTTTTGTAGTAGTTCTAATTTTCAAGAATACAAAACAAGCTATTTGGTGCCAATATAAATATTTAAAAACTTTTTAATGCCGTTTAAAAAAAAAGTTATTTAATGTCAATTTATAGGTTGTTATGGTGTGCCAATTTTTCAAAACGGATGCTGTGGAGAGGCCCATTAAAGATTTTGTAAGAAATACCCATAAATGAAAAAAGAGGGTTGAATAGGTGTCCAAAAAGTGTCCTTTATTGAGTCGAAATAATCGAATTCATTGATACTATATCAACTAAGTATTTTCTTTCTTCTACTAGTAGGTGTGATCAATGCGATTAATAAATATGGTATCAAACTATCAATGAATTCGACTCTATAAAAGACACTTTTTGGATACCGTACCAAAGTAGCAAACTGTTTACCTATACCGTTGACTCATTTATTCCATTCCAAATAGTATTCGTTTTGAAGTCGGACTCTGATATGTAGAGCCGTCAATATGGGATAGGCCCGTTGGGCCAGCCTGACCTAACATGTGATTTGATAGGGCTGAGTTACAATTTTTGGAGCCCATTTAAGAAAAGAGTTTTTTAGCCCGGCCTGAATAAGTCTGTCATTTGTGGGGCTTGAGACATATGGATAAGTCCGGCTCGTGAGCCAAATAAAAATTAATTAATAAATAAAAATAAAATAGAGTATTAAAAATAACAGGAGTCTACACTCAAAATCTGTTTAAAGTTTGAAATATTACAATTTAAATACAAATTATGTTTATAAAATATGTATTACATAAAATAAAAAATTCCTAAAATTTCTAGGGAATCACTACATAAGCCATAACTTATGGAATGTTATCATAGTTTTTGTGTTTTATTATAATCATTGAAAAACAATTAGGTTAATATTTCTATTTAGCTATTTATGTTTTCACTTGAAATCAAACTTAATAAATACTCCATATGTCTCAATTTATGTGACTTACTTTTCTTTTTAGTCAGTCCAAAAAAGAATGACACATTTCTATATTAAGTAACATTTTAACTATAAAATGTATTTTTTACCCTTAATGAAATGATTTACAACCACACAAATTTCTATCATTCATTTTGGACCATAAGTTTTAAAAGTCTTCCTTTCTTTCTTAAACTTCGTACCGAGTCAAACTACCTCACATAAAATGGGACGGAGGGAGTATTATTTAGATAATTTTATTTGTGTATTTGATTAACAAATAGTAACACTAACTCCATGTAATATTGTCTTGTCGATAGTTATAATAATATTTTAAAATTATAATTTAATGAATTTTTTTATAAAAACTATACTTTTAAGAAAAGAGAGCTGACTCAGCAAAGCCCGTAGCTCACGCACTTATGGACTGGGCCGACCATTTTTTGGCCCACATAAAAAATGGGCTAGCCCAACCTGACCCGTCAAATTGCAAAATCTGTATGGATTAACCTGGATGGGGTGAGCCAACCAATATTGACAGTTCTACTGATATGAATGCATGTCTAATGAGGTAGCTTTTTCATATTTTTAACTTACTTATTAATAGAAAAAGTATTTTTACACCAAAATTAGAGGATGATATATAATCCTATTTTAAATAATTCAATGTAAATAAATATTTATCCCTTTAATTAATTATTTTGCAAAAATCAAACAAGACAAGGGAAACATGCTCTCTTCTTTTATTTCCCATATTTTCTCCTTGGCATGGAAACTAGGAGGTTCCAAGAGCCAAATATATATAGTCAGGGACGGGATCTATGTGTATGGATGGTGTACCACGGCACTCAGTGACTTCAGTTAAAATTTTGTACATATATATATGTATATGTATGACGAATTGATCATTTATTACTCTGGTGTCGAGGGTCCGAAACCCCTTGTCTGCAATATTATTTTGCCTCTTTTTTTTCATTGTGCGCAAGGATTCAGTTTTTTTGCCGTTAGTTCATCCTTATTTGCTATTATTATTTGTTAATCCAATTGAGTATTTTTTTGCTTTAATTAATTCCTATCCTTTAAAAAAAAATTCTCTTTCTCCGAATCCTAAACCGCCTCTCTTAATATAGTTCCAGACTTTGGCAGTCCCAAAAAAAACAATTTTCCATGGAAGCAGCACGACGCATATGTCTTCCCAAATCCACCATTAGAGGCACAGTAACTTGTGCTTCACTTGTAAACACGACCCACTTAGAAAATTCCCCAAAATCGCCCATTTCTGAACCACAACACTTTGCTAATGGCTCTTCAACCCCACCATCTGATGACACATTTTTAGTCCAGAAAATCTTGTGGAACCTTAAACAAGGTAAGCCAATAACCAATTCTTTACATGGTTTTAATCCGTCTACTTTTCTTGAAATTCTTGGTAATTGTCGTGATAATTTGCATTTAGCACAGACATTCATTAACTTGGTTTCTGTAAATTGTCCTAATTTTAAACATTGCTCGAGGTCATTGAGTGCTACTGTACATGTGTTGATTAGGTCTAAGAGGGTAGCTGATGCACAGGGTTTTATCTTAAGGATGATTAGAAGAAGTGGAGTTTCAAGAATTGAGATTGTGGAATCTTTGGTGTCAACTTATGGGGTATGCGGGTCTAATCCATATGCTTTTGATTTGCTGATTAGGACTTACGTACAAGCTAGGAAGATTAGGGAGGCTGTAGAAGTATTTAGGTTGTTGCAAAGGAGGAATCTTTGTGTTCCGATAAATGCGTGTAATGGTCTTCTAGGAGGGCTTGTGAAGATTGGTTGGGTTGACTTGGCATGGGAAGTGTATGGTGAGATGACAGGGAGTAGCATTCAGCCAAATGTGTATACCCTCAATATAATGGTGAATGCTTTGTGTAAAGATGGGAAAATTGAAAGCGTGAATCCGTTTATTGAAGAAATGGAAAAGAAGGGAATTTTTCCGGATATGGTGACTTACAATACTTTGATAAATGCATATTGTCACGAGGGGCTTCTTGAAGAAGCCTATGAAGTGATAAACATTATGAAAGCTACGGGGTTAAGACCTTGTCTTTTAACTTATAATTCTATTCTCAATGGTTTGTGTAAGAATGGACAATACGGGAGAGCAAGGGACCTCCTTTTGGTTGAGATGGAAGAGAGTGGACTGTCCCCTGATACTGCTAGTTATAATGCACTGCTTGCTGAGTGCTGTAAAACAGGTAATGTGCTGGAAGCAGAATCTGTTTTCAAAGAAATGTCGTGTCGAGCTATCATCCCTGATTTGGTTAGTTATAGTTCTCTTATTGGATTGTTTTCAAGAACTGGTCGTCTTGACCGCTCATTGGCATACTATGAGCATATGAAACACAAGGGTCTTAAACCAGATAATGTAGTCTACACAATTCTCATTGGTGGGTTTTGTAGAAATGGTTCTATGAAGGAGGCTATGAAGATGCGTGATGAAATGCTGGAGCAGAGTTTAGTTATGGATGTGGTGACTTACAATACTATATTGAATGGGTTATGCAAAGGAAAGATGCTTCATGAAGCTGATGAGCTTTTCAATGAGATGTTGGAAAGAGATGTAAATCCTGATTTTTACACTTTAACCACGCTTATCAATGGTTATTGCAAGTGTGGTAACATGGACAAAGCACAGACCCTGTTTGAAGCCATGCTACTGAGAAACCTCAAGCCTGATGTTGTGACGTATAACAGCTTGATTGATGGATTTTGTAAGGTTGGTGATATGGAAAAAGCTTTCAGTTTAAGGGATGAGATGATATCTGTAAACATTTCTCCTAATTATATTACTTATAGTATTCTCATAAATGGCTTTTGTAATAAGGGTCGTGTATCTGATGCATTAAGACTGTGGGATGATATGATTATCCTAGGTATCAAACCTACTATTGTGACTTGCAACTCTATTATCAAGGGATATTGCAGGTCTGGTGATGCTTCAAGGGCAGCTAAGTTTCGGAACAAGATGCAGTCCCAAGGATTATTTCCTGATTCAATTACATACAATACTCTTCTTGATGGGTTTATAAGAGAGGAGAATATGGCTAAAGCCTTAGATTTGGTTAATGAAATGGGAAATCAAGGTCTGTCACCTGATGTTATTAGCTATAATACCATACTGGATGGTTTCTGTAAATTTGGTAGAATGCAGGAAGCCAACATGCTGTATAGGAAAATGGTTGAGAGGGGTATTAACCCAGACAGATCCACATATACATCATTGATAAATGGACATGTCTCTCAGGATAACTTGAAGGAGGCTTTTCATTTCCATGATGAAATGCTGCAGATGGGTTTCATTCCTGATGACAAATTTTAACTGACCATCAATTTCTACCATTTCACGAGTTCTGCTTTTTGCAGTTTCAGTGGGTAAGCCCTCTTCTAAATTTGATATTTTGACACTAGGGAATTGTTAGCTAATGTGAAATATGCTTTGAGGAGAAGTATGGAGAAATCACTTGCTGGAGCAGATACTTATGGGTGCTCAACTGGACATCTGCTCTCTAACTATGTATTAGTGAGATATTATCCTTGACACAGAGCGGTGCTTCATTTTCAGACCCCCCATTTGTTGCCATCTGTCTTGCTTGATTGGTTAAAGAGAGAACTAGTGAGGGCCGGAATGGAATATCATATGTAGTGTTGAATCCAATCTGAAGCTCTTTCGAACAAGAGAGGAATGAGTGACCACAAGCTCCGCTTAAGCGCAGTGCTAGGCGAGGATTGGAACCCTACCATCTATTCTCTATGCATCTCAATTGCTTCACACCTCTGCTTGGAAACCTCCATACAACACCCCTTGTTTCGTTCTAGCCCTATTCTATTACCAGACATAATTGGGAGAAGCTCAACCGAAACTAGAGCTAGAAATGCTTGATTTCGTTTCGTTCCCGCTCTCTAAGGAACTGTCTGTTAGTGAGACATTATCCAGACACAGAGTGGTGCTTCATTTTCAGAAATGTGCTTTTGGCTGTGGTGACAAACTTAAGAGGGCCCTTTTGATAGAGCTGTGATTAAGATTGAATATGCAGAAGTTCCTCTTTCATCTGCGAGTTTGATAGTTCACCCTGTGGACTCACAATTTGTCAAAGAGCATAGTATGTACTAAGTTTTGACCTTAGATTCTTGGTTTCCCTCTTGTTGCCACTTCCTGGTGATGTTATTGTCATTTTAGATATCAAATATATTATGAACACTACAAATCAATATATTGCCCACATAGGTTACAACTTTTGCAAACAATACATAATGTTACAACTAGCCAATGACTCTCTTATATTGGATTTTGTGTATGGTATAGTGTCTAAACCTATGTTGCTTGGAATCTTCAAAAATGTCATTGCGTGCATATGGGTTCCTCCAAAATTAGTGCATTTTTAGAGGATCCGACAGGGGTGCAACAATATTTTTGGATTGTCCGAGCAACATAGGTCCAAACCATGTTAGGACAATATTCTTGTGTTATATTGTTGAAGGGGGTAGTTTCCATGGTTTCTGTGAGGTTTCCCTATCGTTATGTAATGGTATTAAAATGCTTTACTCAGTGACATACTATTTTTTTCTTTTTATTGTTGTTTCCTTGTGCTTCCGAGTTATGTTGTCTTTGTGGAAAGCTGAAAATTTAAACCAAATGCTTTTGCTTCAGGGGCGATGATGGTGTGGCAAGTGAATCAGAAAAGTTATCCATGTCTGTCTGTTGTCTGCTGTGAACTTTGACATCCAAGGTGTGTTGATGACACATGGGCTGGGCTGCTGTTACTTTCTCCTGATTTGCTGGTTGATCGTTCTGTTCATGATTACATGTTTCATCAGTGAACATAAAATGCTAGTAGTAGTTCTCAGAAGTGTATCAAAGCTCTAGTTGCTCTTGTGTTATCAAACCAAATGAGCTTCCAAGTCCTACTCAATTGACCATAAAACTACAACCCTTGACTATATTTATGTCGGGGGCATTTCGGTATCATGAAATGATCAGACTTCAAGATCTGTTCCATAGATAGATTGAGGACATTAGCTTTGTCTGAGTTAGAAACCCCAGGTTACAGATGTTGGGACAACTTTTCTCTCATTGAGTTACAGTGGAGAATTATGCAATATATGGATAGATGAAGACAAAGAGTTAATTATGCAATTAATTTTTGGGTAAAATAGGGTGGCAAAAGGTGGTCGAAGGTTCAAGCCCCACACCATGCAAAAGGAAGCCAGGTATTTAAGTGGAGAAGGGTAGGGGGGCCCATTATCCATCGAGTTTAGAAGGCTGTGATTGGTCCGAAGGGCGGGTCACACACGGATTTCTCGTTTGGGTTACTGCATCCATTTTATTTATATTTTTGGTTCAGTGCTAAGACCTTTCATGTGTCAGTATGCTATTACAATGAATGTCTCTCTTAAAATGGTCATTTTTTTTAATTGAGTTCTTTTTAAAGTCTGTGTCATTTCTTTTTTACTAAGTATTATTTATATTTCAATTTGTTCCTTGCTTTTTAATATTTTTTTAAAATTATTTTACAAGAAAATAGGATGCAAATCATAAAAAGAAAGTTAAAAAAGTGGAAATCACAAAAGAGGACATACGTGGGGGGTTCAAAATACAATGGACTCAGATTGTATCTAGTCTAGCAGTTGAAGGACTTCGATGGCTGTTAACCTGTTGTAGCCAATGTAGCTTTGACATGATAAAAGTTTCAGACTATATACAATTAAAAGTCATTGAAACCTAAAAATAAATCTAGGAGTATTTACTTAATTTGTTTTCCAAATTAGATGTAGGTACAATCTCACTTCAAGTCCTTTGCAAGTTTAGCACCTAACGTATTTTGACTATTGAACACATAGTCAAAAGCTCTTATGACTATTTCTGGTTACCTTTCTTTAAACATTTAAATACGATGCTACATTATATTGTCACACGGAAATTGACTCTTTTCTTGGTGCTTATTCATCTGCTAATATACCCAATGCTTTTTCTCCTAATTATTCAATTTGCTCTCCTACACTACTGAATTAAAATGTAAAACTATTAGCACCCAAAAGTGTGGCTTAGTAGTCAATGACATAGATTGAACACCATAACATCTCAAGTTCAATTCCCGGAAAAAAACACTAGGTGATTTCTTCGTTCTCGCTTACCTATCTTAATTTTCCCAAACTCTAGGAAAACATAAATGCAAGCAAGAGGAGTTGATGAAGTTAATTTAGTACTCCCCCTGTCCAACAATAGTTGTCTACTATTGACTTTGCACACTTCTTAAGAAATTATAAATAGAAGGGTAGTTTTACTATATTACCGTTTAAATATAATAAATACAATATCTTGAAAAATGTAATAGAGAAATGAGTATAATTAATGATAGAGTAAATTAGGAACTTAGTGTAAAATTATCCATTGATTTCATAAAGTGGACAAGTATTGCTGAACGGAGGGAGTAATAATTAACACCTTAATAGTTGCAACTCTACTCTTTATTAATGCTTATTTCAAGTGCCAAAACCATGGACAAATTAAATCCACGTTAATTGGAAATGATTAAAAAAAATGTTTAAAAAGACCTAGCATATTGGCTTTAACTTAATTAGTAACAGTAATGTATAGTTACCTACCAATGGGACGAATTAAATAAGTAGGATTTTCAAAACCAACCATTCCACTTATTGACTTACGTTATGCTTTATAGTGGATTCTTGATTGTACAGTTTGAAATTAACAGAATTTTTTCCTAGTATAAAAATAGCATGTTAGTATTGCTCTAAGTGTACCACAACAAAAGTTCATAAAAACATCGAAATTTATTCGAAACTGTTGAAGAGTATATAGCAAAGTAATAAATCAAGGAGAAAATGGGTGGCAGTGAAGCTGGAGATGATTCAAAGCCAAAGGGGAACAGAGGAATTTCTTTTCTTGATTTTATTATGAGAATTGTTGCCATTTTAGGTACCTTAGGAAGTGCAATTGCCATGGGAACAACTAATGAAACCCTTCCCTCCTTCGAACAGTTCATTAGGTTTAAGGCTGAGTACAAGAACCTTCCTACTTTCACGTAAGATAATACACTATTACTACTATATTTTTGTTTGCGTTATAACTCATATACACTGACAGTATAAATATATTACTTATTACTGTACTTTAGCATGTTATAGCAGGTTGTTTGTCTTACTTGTCAGGTAACTAGTTTAACACTTATTAGATGTTATCTATGTTAGTGTAAAGATAGCAAGTAGTATATTACAATTTTAATTTTTAACCAGGTTACTCATTATTGTTTATGAAAATTCACAGGTTCTTTGTGGTAGCAAATGGCATCGTTAGCGCGTACCTCGCTGTATCTCTTGTCCTATCCATCTTGCACATTGTGATGAGTGGTGCAAGAATAACAAGGGTGGTGTTGATCTTCTTTGATACGGTGATGATGGCATTTTTAACATCTGGAGCATCAGCAGCAGCAGCCATAGTGTATTTGGCACACAAGGGAAATGCTAGTGCTAATTGGATTGCTATTTGCCAGCAGTACAACTCTTTCTGCGATCGTGCATCTGGCTCTTTGGTTGGATCCTTCATTGGAGTTCTTGTGTTTTTGCTGATCATCATATTGTCTGCTCTGGCCCTTTCAAGAAACTGATTATTGATCACTTCCTGCGCAAAGAAAGGACGCGCAATTTCATCATTTGATATTGTGTTTTATTCCAAGAAATTTTTGAATGATTCTTGTCATTTATTCCTTCAAGATGTTATTAAATCTGTTTGTTTTAGTGATTCTTCCTCTCAATCAATAAAATTGATGTTGCATTTGTTCTGTTATTACTTGACAATTGTCTTCCTGCTGAAAATCGACAAGTACACCAAGTTTCTGTATAAAGCTTAGGACCATATATATACCAAGCTATGAATTTTATTTGGAGCTGCAACATGCAAGTCCTAAAATACCTGACACAGCCCCTAGCCATCACAAAAATATAGAAGGAAATATAAATTAATGTCGTATGCACCAACGAAGACTACAACAAAATGTCTAAATGAGGCATACAATGACCACAAATCCTCAATGAACTGCTGATAGAAACAATCCGAAATGCAATTTGCACGTATAATGAACTACAGTGGTTTATGATGTGAATAGACGGAAGAGTTGGATCAAAGATGTCGTCTTTGTACCCTCACACAGAGGATGGACCTTCACGCGTACCAGGTTTGGCATTAAGCTTAGTTGCTCCCTTCTCCGCTTGTGCCTGCTATCTCTATTCTCAAGAGTGTTTACGCTTGGAATCAAAACAAAAATTCTTGAGATCATAATCATCAGCCTCAATTAAAGTACAACCAGGTTCTTTCCAAACCCCATTGTCATCCATCAACTTCCTCACCCTTTCAACACCATCCCATTCATCCCTTGACGCATAGATATTAGACAGTAAGACATAGTCCCCACTGTCTTCCCTTCCCAATTTAAGCAACTGCTCATTAGCATACCTTCCCAGCTCGACATTGGAATGAACTTTACAAGCTCCTAGCAGTGTTCTCCATATAATAGCATTAGGTTTAATCTCCATCGTGTTTATGAATTCAAACGCTTCATTCAATAGTCCTGCACGTGCTAGCATATCCACCATACAACCATAGTGCCTTATGTTTGTCTCAATATTGTAGTCAGTTCTCATCATGTTGAAATATTCTTGGCCATAATCAACTTTACCAGCGTGACTACAAGCAACCAATACACCAACAAAAGTAATTTCATTAGGGATATACTTCATTCTCCTCATATCTTCAAAAAGAGAGATACATTCTTCAGAATGACCATGGAAAGCTAATCCTAATATAATTATGTTCCAAGACGACACGTCCTTCTCTCTCATGCCTTGAAACACTTCAAGTGCCTTACTAATGCTGCCACACCTAGCATACATGTCTACAAGTGCATTACCAAGAAATACGCTTAACTCGCCTGCACCCATCTCAATAATTGATCGATGTATCTGCTCGCCAACATCCAAGAATGCTGAATCCGTGCAAGCGGATAAAAGGTGCAACATAGTGACTTCATCAGGGTATTCCCCTGCACCTCTCATCTCTTCGTACATTTTCAAAGCCTTCTCATTTTCTCCACAAAGCACATATCCAGAAATCATGGCATTCCAAGTCACAACATCCCTCTTTGGCACAATATCAAACATCTCCCTCGCATTCTCCATCTTCCCTTGCTTCACATACCCAGTGATCATTACATTCCAAGAAACCAAGTCTTTAACCGGCATATCATCAAAAAGCCTCCTTGCCGCATCCAATTCCCCTCTCCTCGCATATCCAGCAGTCAAAGCAGACCAAGCAACAACGTCCCTCTTAGCAGAACCATCAAAAAGTTGGCCTGCAATTCTTATATCTCCAACATTAGCGTGAAAATATATAAGGGTATTCCTCGCAAATTTATTAGATTCAAACCCATGTTTCACAATTTTCCCATGTACGGTAAGGCCAGAAACAAGCCAAGAAAGCTTGGTACATGCTTTGAGTAGAAACGGAAAAGTATAACTATCCGGAAGTATGGAACGTTTTTCCATCTGGGTATAAACGGAAACAGCAAGAGAAGGCCTGTGACTCTGAGCTGACCCTCTAAGCATGGTGTTCCACATGAAGAGATCTGGTTGAGTAATTTGAGCAAACAGCTTGTGGGCATAGTGAATAGATGCTGAGAAAGTAACAGCAGAAGCATGTATGAGCTCCCTGAGAGCAATGCGATTGGAGTTGAAGCCATTGATGATCATCAAAGCATGAATTTGCTTTAGGGATTGGACATCTTTGCATTTGCTCCATAGTGATGATTGTCGGTGAAGATTTGAACTCCTGCTTGCTATTGTCTTTTTGATCATTTATCTCCCACAGTCCCACTCATAGATGTGCTCCTACCGATTCATCAACTAATATTGGGCCTGGCCTGTTGTCTCTCATGGGCTTTATGTTTATTTTCGGTTCGGATATTCACTACAAGGATCTCTTGTTTCCATATTCCTCTTTGCCTCATTTTAGCGTTCTAATAGAAAGATTAGCCCACTACTCCTGCCATTTCAATTAAGGGAAAATTACGCGGTTAAGCAAACTTATACTACTTAATTACTCATCATAGTTATAGTTTGCTATAATTACCACTCACGATTAACATTATACATTAATTACGCGGGCTGACTTTGAGTTTGTATAATTAGTCACGTTTGTATATGTATAATTCGCCAAAATATACAAATACATATGTATAATATACGATTATCTAACCTATATACATATCCAATTCACCTCTCTCCCACTCTCTGCCCTCTCTCGCTCGCCTCTCTCCTCCCTCTCCCAATCTCGCTTGCCATATATACAAATATATATGTATAATATACAATTATCTAACCTATATACATATACAATTCACCTTTCTCCCACTCTTTGACCCTCTCTCTCGCCTCTCTCCTCTCTCTCCCAGTCTCGCTCGCCTCTCTCCTCCCTATAACATATAACTATGAATTGTAATTATCAAACTATAGTTATGGAGAGTAATTGAGCTATTTTTGAGTGGCTATATGTGAAAGTTCCCCTTTCAATGATATGTCTTATTTTTTTAAGGAAAAAAGGATCTCATATACTCGTCAACTTTATCATTTAGAGCTCATATACCCTTCGTTATAAAAGTGATTCATATATACCCTACTGTTATACAAATGGCTCACATGTACCCATACATATTTTTTTTTGACTTTTTCGTTTTAACGACTAATTTAAATTTATTATTTTGATGGTCAAATTTATTTAATATTTCACTAAATTTTCTTGTAAAATTTATTATAGATGCCTCATTTTTTTTATTTTTTACAAATACAAAAACTAAATTACAATATAGCCGCAAAAAAATAGTTTAAAATTTTTTCTTTACACTAAAGAATGAAAGAAAAAAAGAATAAGAAACTCGGATACTAATAATCAAAGAAGTCAAAAAAAATAAAATTATATACCCCTACATGATTTATTTATTTTTAATTTAAAGTCAAAAAGATAAATTTAAAACTATTTTTTTCACTTCCGTTAGATGAAGGGTATATGTGAGCTCCTTTTGTAATGGTAAGGGGATACGTGAGTCATTTGTATAACGGTAAGGGTATATATGTGTCACTTTCATAACGAGGGATATATCAGCTTTAAATAACAAAGTTAAGGGGTATATCAGGCCCTTTTTCCTTTTTTAAAACAAAAATTTAAGCATGTTACATAGAAAATGTTTTTCTTGTTTCCTTGACGATTCTTTAATTTTAATTTTATCATATAATATGTTTATAACTACAAGATTTAAAGGACATTCTAATGAACATATCTTTAGTTTAATTTTATAGTAGAATTTGCACGAGTTACGTCGACTTTCTATGTAACAGACTGCTATTTGTGCACTTGCCCGGAAGTTTCACCATATGTCAATATTTTCTGCAAAACTCACATGCTGATGAGAATTTATTGTACTCCCATTAGAGATTTCTAATAACGACTACGCGTTTGTTCGATCAAGTAACATAGAGTTAGAATTGAAAAGATGTTGATAAAAGATGTATTTTCTGGAAATGTTTTCTAATAACTAAAACAAAAAAATTGGCTTCACCATAAAAAATATATACTCCTATTTTTAAATATTAAATACATTTTTTTTCACTCAAGACCCTCAAACGCAACTCGCACCCTCTAATATATCGGTCAATAGTGTCTGATCATTTGAGCGTGCCTTGTTTGTCGTACAAACATGTATGGTTAGATTTACTTTTTCTGATTACTTACCTTTTCTATCGATGATATTTGTAAAATGACACTATGATCAATTATTTTTGACGAAGAAAAATTGAAGACGTGGATACAAATTTATTTAGACTTTTGAACAAGGAGTTGCACGAGCACCGTGTTTTCCGTGAGGTCAAAGTAAGTTGTTGTAAAATGTTTCCTATTTTTAGACTTTTTGGATTGGAAAAGAAGAAGACTCCTTTTTTTTCAGAAGAACTAGTGCATATGTAAAACGAAAAAGGTTCATTTTGTATCAGGTGCAAATAAATTTCTAAAACGTTTTTTAGGTGTTCGGTGTTCCTTAACAATAAAAACCAAAGTGACAAAGTCAGAAAATAATTCGTAATAAACTTTAATGTTTTTTTGCTTAAGATAAACTCTAATGTTATACACCAGCCTTTCCCTTTTATACTAGTTAACTTTTTTACAAAAAGCAATTTCTGTCTGATATTTGGAGCTTGAATTAGATTTATTATATATTTTTAAAAAAAATAATTTAGAAGTTCGATAATTGTATGAAATTTTTTTACAACACCACACCCCATATATATTTAAAATTAAAAAAATATGAGTAATAAGTTGCAATTTCTTCTCATATTAATATGATGGGAATATACTTTGACTCTAAAAAAAATGAAATATTAACCAGAACTAAAAGAAAATGAAGAGTATATAACAAATGAAATATCACATAAAATTCATCATAATTTCGCTCATAGGTTATTAATTTAAGGTGATCGATAAGAGTCTTTTACATGGTAGAGTGATTCGTTTTTCCTATTTCTTTTCTCGTTTCCTCTACCCTAGGTAATTAAAACATATTTTTAAGGAAAATAAAAATAAAATATCACAATTAGAATTATTTTTTAAAAGATTCCATTGCATGGCAAGGAAATTAACCAGTTTTGGCATAATATTGTGTCACAAATATTATATTTCTAAAGGAGAGGACATTAAATCAAAACCAGATAATTAATTAAGAATTATTACAGACGGGCTGATCTATGTTAGGAAAAGTAAACGAACCAAATATAGAAGGCGGTTCGTTCCAAAAAATATCTTCTTCGATCGATAGCTAATGCATTAGTCTTACGGATAAACTGTGATATATTGGAGGATGATTTTATTGTTACGAAAAAAATAATAATAAGAAACTCCGCAAGATTGAGTATATTAAAAAAAAATCACTTTAGAATACATACATAATTACAAGCTCTTTGATTAAATCAAGGCTTCACCAATTCAATGTGAATCAATGTAAGATGAACTTTGAT